GAGGGCAGTTTTAAAGATCTGGAAAGTTTTGGGCTGATGCAAAGCAAAAGAGAGATGATGAAATGATGGAGAATGAGAGAATTTGTAGGAAATGTGATGGAGCAGCCAGCGGGGGGCACATCTGCCTCACACTGGCATCCATAAAAGCACCCCAGCACATTGTTGCTTGATAAATTCATTTTTCCTTTCTTTGTCACTCTTTTTCTCCTTCTGTCATTAAACATTTTCATCAAGTCCTGCAGAGGAAATCAGAATGCAAAGCTGTGATGTGTCAGAGACAGCCAATGGCCATGGGGCCCGGAGAGCCCCGAGGCACCTCCGATGATGGCTGACGAGCTGGAGAATGTCACGTTGATCTGACAACTGACTCTGGGTCGTTAGAAACACAATGCACACTTTTCCCGGGAAAAACTGGGCCAACAGATCCTGGCACACAGGAGTAGCTAGTTAGTGGACCCAACCAGGAGCTACAACTGCAGGCAAAAAGGAAACAACTTGTTTTCTCCAGCATGATCTGATGCGCTGCTGCTGGTTGTTCAGTTTTACCTACAGGAAACCGACCACGTGGGTTCTAACCAGCTCCACAACAGCAGCTTAGAAGTGACTTTTAATAGAAATCGTGACTGACTCTACTCAAAACCCCACCCTAGTTTGGTTATTTAGATCTTTATAATATTTCTAATGTTCTAGTACTTTCCTAAAATATGTTTTTGGTGTGTATTTGAAAAGTGTACCTTCTGAAACTTTTCATCCAAGAACATCGAGTTACTTGTTAAGAAACAGTTAAGAACCGATGTCCTTTCTGTAATGCTGTAGAAAAACATCATTAGAGGCTTAAAACGACTTTCATCAACATGCTCATCAGTGGTCTGTAGTTGGAAGCTGTTTCCAAACAGACCATTTCCAGTTTCCTTGTTTTTATTTGGCTGTTTTTAGTATTTTTCAACAGTACAGTTAAGAGTCATCAGTTTTTATTCTGCATTTCACACCAAAGCAGTGCAAATCACAGATATGAGGGATCCAGCGTGTTTCAGAAATAAAAGGTTTCTAAACAAGTTAAGATAAAAACAGACTTAATATATGAAAATAAAAAACAAAGCATGAAAGATAGAGATCAGTTGAAATCACGTTCCATGGAGTCAGTAAACGCACAAAGCTAGCTAACTGAGACAAAAAAGAACAAAAGAGACTTTTCAAAGGGTTTAGAAGATTCATCCTTTGAGGGAAACTTGAGATCCAAGGAGAGTCGATTCCAGCAGCGTTCAGGAGAACGGCTGAAAGTCGCTTCACTCCGAGTGGCTTCAACTCTGAGCACCACGAGCTGTCGCGTCCCAATAGATCTGACACCTACCAGACTTAAACATTCACATTTGTAATCATTAAACACAGATCTAAGTATATTCATACATGTTTATTTGTTTCTGCAGTAGTTTATGCTGTCAAACAGCCAGAAAACGAAATACACCCAGCTCTCAGAGACGTAATTTTTATTAGGGATGGGTACCTTTGACATTTGAATCGATCCGGTACTAATTACCGGTACCTACGAATCGATACCGGTACTTAACGGTACCAATTTTCGATACTTTTGAGTGTTTATTATTTTAATTCTCTTTTATAATTAAATATATATTTTTCTCAATATATAACCATATTTGATAAATATCAGGATAAATAACATTCAACTGTTTGTATTTTAACATCGTCCTTGTAGTTTTATAAGCTGATAATTAAACTGAAGCAAACATCTTTACTGTGAACTAAATTTCCTGTGTATCGTCATTCCTTTTGCCGTCCTTTTTCATTTGATTTTTCCTACTGGGAAGTTAGAATTTCCGAGGAGACAGCGAACGCACCATTAACTGATAACAACGGTGGCAATGGAAGCTAACATATCAAGCTAACGTTATCTTAAACAGTTTATTTAGCTGCTGGAGCAGATTAAAACGATGATGCCTCACACTTAGATTGTTGTCACTGGTTTCATCTTCACCAAATCACCCGTCGCATTTAGTAAAGTGAAGCCAAACTTTAGAGCGCGTTCATGTTCTTCTAGTCGGAAATTCGGAGTTCCGATGAGAAAGCGAACGCAACATTAGCGAAACGGAAGCTAACATATCAAGCTAACGTTATCTTAAACATTTTATTTACCTACCGGAGCAGATTAAGATGAGGATGTCTCACTTAGATCGTTGTCGTTGGTTTCATCATCACCCTGTTACCCATCACATTTAGTGAAGTGGACCCAAGCTTTAGCGTACGTTCTTTCTACCATGCTGCTCTGTTTACAACTGGCTCGCAGCGAGCGACGACATAACGCTCTTGCGCATGCGCAGCTGTCTTGGCAAGTTCTCGTTATGAAGGACAGGTACCGAAATGAGGCACCGTTTGAAATGACGTGAATCGGTGCTCGGTCGGTACTATGGATTTCGGTCGGTATCTTAAAAAGTACCGAATTCGGTACCGACACTCACACCAATTTCCCATTACACCAGTAAACTGTGTTACTGCAGTTACAGTGCATCACGTAACCATGCATGATGGTTTCGTGAAATTCTGTCAATATGAACTGTTGTGGCATTTCTGAGATTATAATCACGTTGTGGTAATTAATCATGTCGAAAACAGCTCCTACCTGTTTAGTTAAGTCTGTGTGAATCTCTATTTCTCCAAACTGAGGCCTTTTCAAAGTGCTTCCAACAGCAGGTTGAATGTTAATTGTCCTTAGAAAGCCACTTTAAAACGTCTGAACTGCCCCTTTAACTGCTGGTGTTTAGTAGAGTTTCTTCTCTGCAAGGATTAAAGGGCAAATTTTACTCTGTTAGCTTCCCTTGGTTCAGCAGCTCAGTTACTTTAGGATGCTTGACAGGAAATAGAAGAAAAATAATGAAATATGTTTTAAACCAGTCAATCATAGTGATGACTTTTGAATTACCCTTGACGACAGATTGGCTGATTTTATTAAACAGACGTGAATGGCTCCACAGCACCAACACGCTTCTCGTGCTTTGCAGCAAACTGGACGCCTTCATCTACGATGCTGCCGTCCTGAACTACATGGCTGGCAGAGACGAGGGCTGTAAGCTGGTGACGATCGGCAGTGGCAAAGTGTTCGCCTCCACCGGTTATGGCATCGCCATCCAGAAAGACTCGGGCTGGAAGCGAGCGGTGGATCTGGCCATTCTGATGCTGTTTGGAGACGGTACGGATTTAAAATCCTCAAAGAACAAAGGAGATGTACACACAAATAAGCTGCTGTGGCTCTAATTTGTGCACTGCTCATTTAAATTTGAAAGCACGAGAATCGTTGTGAGTAAAGGTCAGAGAGGCTGTTGGGGCTGCAGGATAAAACCTGAGCCTGATGGCTCTAGGGTTTGATCTGTGGTGTTGAGCTACTCAGGAAACCATGGACGTAATTTTCCCTTTAGAAGTGTGTGGGGGGGGGGGGGGGGGCACGGTTCGGGGGGGGGGGGGGGGGGGGGGTCTTTACAGTATGCTCTAATGGGAAACAGGCTTCAACACAAATGGTTGTTTTCTGCTTGGTCCTAGAGCTCAACCAGTGTCAATTTAATATAGCGTAATATTGTTTTTGGATGGTAAAAAGTACAAGGGTCAAAGCTTGAGTTTGGAAAAAGTGGGGGGGACATGTCCCCCCTGTCCCCCCCAAAAAATTACGTCCATGCAGGAAACTCTGAAGAATTATAAAACACGACACATTTAGAAAGAAGAAACCCTTAATTACATCCATTCGCTGTCAGGTTGCTGAGATAAACACCGTTTGTACTGTAGCGACTCAGGAGGGAAAGACTTTAAATGTTAAAGTCAGTTTATTTTCCCCCTGATTGATGCGAGCGTAACAGCAGCTGTTTGACAGATGTGCTTCCTGTTGGTGAAAAATCCCTGAGATCTTCACCTGATGTGGTGGATGGGTGCCGGTGACGGCCGTAGGCGTGTGTGTGTGATCACATCTTGCACATTTATCTGTGTATAAATGAATGCTTTAGCATCTCTTCATATGTTCTGGTGCTAACTCTACACTAGTCTGTGTGAATATTTATGAGGGAGCAGGTTGAATACTGTCTCTTATTAAAGCATCTGATGACTAACGGCTGTGAGAAAACCTCATCGCAGTGCCGTGCTTGCAGTGTGCTTGTGAGTTTATTATGATGAGGATTTCCCCAAATGGTAGAAAAACTGTTAAATATTAAAAACATGTCAAAAATGTCCAGCTTTCCCTGCTTTTGGGAGGCTTCGTGTGGCGGGGTTCAAAATGACGAAATCTCTGATTGTTTTATTAGATTTAATCTTAGAACTTCATAAATTATTTCAGAAGAACACTTTTTGTTTTGAGCTTGAATCTATGAACAGGCTTTGGTTTAAATAAACATTATTAAAGCCCAATCTATAATTTATTTATTTACACTTTGACTGTATGGTAAGCACATTTTAAATGAACTTCGCAAACAGTTTCATATTTCAGTTTATTTTAAGGGAGAACACAGTTTTAATCTCACAGCTTGCATCACAGCTCAGCTGCCCAGGGGTTGTTTCACAGTTTCTATAAAAAAACAAATCGGTGTCTTTGCTTGCTCTTTTTGGCTTGTGTGCATTGAATTTTACTGATGGCTGATTTGATCATATTCTTTTCCACGACCATCAAACGTGTCTTTCCACGTGTTTGTTTTAGAAAAGAGAAGCAACTCGTTGCACCAGTTGGGGTTAAATAACTTGTAGCAGCTGAAAGATAAATGATCCACCAGGAAGCTCCTACCTGCTTGCTTAGTTAAATCCAAATGGTGACTTTTTTTGGGCCGGGCGGCGTATAATTTTCATTCTTACATCAAATAAGGTCACGAAGTTGGATTTGAACTACAACTGTTTCATTTGACGTTAAAATTCATCGTAAAAACAATAAGTTACACAAACGTAAACGTAATAGTGAGATCGGTGACACCGGATGAAATGAATGGATCCATGCACCAGCTTGGATCAGTAGATTCTCTCTAAGGGCTGTTTTGTTGCTGTTTACCTGTGTGTGTGTGTGTGTGTGCGTGCGTGCGTGCGTGCGTGCGTGCGTGCGTGCGTGCGTGTGTGTGTGTGTGTGTGTGTGTGTGTGTGTGTGTGTGTGTGTGTGTGTGTGTGTGTGTGTGTGTGTGTGTGTGTGTGTGGCGACAGAATGGGGCCCTTTGTTGTCACTTCTTTGGTCTGTCAGCTGAGGCAGACACACAGCTGAATGTGTGAGGCAGACCCAGCGTGGACAGACAGGGCACAGCCAGTTCCTGCTACGTGGCAGCCTAAACGCTTCTGCAGAGCTGCGTCAGTCGAGGATTGTTGAATGGCCAAAACTGTTGGGATATTAGTGGTTTACCCACACTCCTGAACTCAGAGGAAAACGTTTTTACAAATCTGCTGTCTGAATAGATGAACCATCACCACAAACACTTCCTGTACAGTTCAGCGCTGTGGAACAGGATTGGCCTCTTTAGAAAAGTTTTTGTGTTTTATTTTTTCCCATTTAAATGTTTTAAATCAGCAACGTGTCGGTGTCAGACAAAGATAACCTGGCTAAATGGAAAAGCTGTTTTTAAAACAATTGTTTTATTTAATAATGGAAGAGCAGATTCATACGTACATGAATCTGTGGTACAAAGAGAACCTTTAAGACTCTGATGGTTTCAGATGTTAGAATTGTTCTACTTCAGACACGTTGGAGGGTTAAAGGTCAAAGGTCAGACATTCTCCATCAGATGACATGCACATCTTCAAGACAGTTCCACTTTTGTCTCATTAGTCCACTGAATACTTACATCAAGTTGTTTTTGGGAAGTTTTCAGATGGATTTCTAAGCTTTTGGTCAAGAAGAGGGTTTAGACCTAGAAATGGAGACTAGTTTAGACTCCTTGGGTGTTTCTGAATGTCAAGGAGCCTCCCCTTGATACCTTGGTCCCACCCCAGTTGGCTAAGAGATGTGTCATCAGGAACCCCCCAAGGAAATATTCATGGGCTACCGAGGCGTCTATTCTCCTTTTGTCTGCCATTTAACTAAGTGACCAAGGATACATGCAAGCTGTCTAGTTGCCTTATCTTAGTTAAATGTTTCCCAGAATACAGCACGGTAGTTTCAAAAGGACGGTGGATCAGGAGCCAGCAGCTACTTCGGAGGCAAATTTCAATTCAATTCAGTTTTATTTATATAGCGCCAAATCACGACAAGAGTCATCTCAAGGCACTTCACATAATAAACATTCCAATTCACACACACACACACACACACACACACACACACACACACACACACACACACACACACACACACACACACACACACACACACACACACACACACACACACACACACACACACACAGCAGTGTGTCCATGGTTACACCGTGATTGCTTAGTAAATATTCTATTTGGTGAAAGATAAACTTTATTGTATTTATCCTAGTGGATCTATAATTAAACGGATAAACTAGTATTAGCACATCCAACGTCAAGGAAAGCAAAAAGTTATTATCAGGAGAGGGAGAATTTTTTTAGTGGTTAGCAGCAGTGTGCTAGACGATGGCCCCCTCCATGAGGCCACCACAGCTCAGCAGAACATCACCGTAGCTTCCTCTGGGTAGAAAAACACAGATAAAAAATAAAGTTAACAGCTGAAATAGCAGGCAATAATACAGTTAAAGAGCAGATTGTAGAAGAAAGTAGTAGAGTGTGAAAAGTGGTCAGTGTATCCTCCAGCAGTCTAAGCCTATAGCAGCATAACTACAGAGATAACTCTGGATAACCAAGCCTTTTTAGATGTAGGCATGTTGGAGGCAGGGCAAGGGAGAGCCGTCTTTACCGACTGTACACTCCACCTCCCTCTACTCCCCCACTTGTCCAGATTTAGGCTAACATCAGATTTTAACTATAAGCCCTATCAAATAAAAATGTTTTAAGCTTATTCTTAAAAGTAGACAAAGTGTCTGCCTCACGGACTAAAGCTGGGAGCTGGTTCCACAGGAGAGGAGCCTGATAACTAAAATATCTGCCTTCCATCCTAATTTTAGATATTCTGGGAACCACCAGTAAACCTACAGTCTGAGAGCGAAGTGCTCGGTTAGGAACATATGGAACAATCAAGACACTGATGTATAATGGAGCTTGATTATTAAGAGCTTTATATGTGAGAAGAAGGATCTTAAAATCTATTCTGAATTTAACAGGTAGCCAATGTAGGGAAGCTAAGACAGGAGAGATATGATCTCTCTTTTTAATTCTCATCAGAACTCTAGCTGCAGCATTTTAGACTAGATGAATACTTTTAACTACACTCTGTGGACTTCCTGAGAGTAATGAATTACAGTAATCCAGTCTTGATATAATAAATGCATGAACTAGTTTTTCAGCATCACTCCTGGAAAGGATGCTTCTAATCTTAGCAATATTCCGAAGGTGGAAAAAGGAAATCCTACAAAACAGTTTAACCTGGGATTTGAATGACATGTCCTGGTCAAAAATAACACCAAGGTTCCTTACTTTGTTCTCGGAGACTAATTTAACGCCATTCAGGTCAGGTGACTGACTAAGCAATTTCCTTTTCTGGATTTCTGGTCCAAAGATGAGAACTTCCGTCTTGTCTTGATTTAAAAGCAAAACGTTTAGAGTCATCCAATTTTTTATGTCTTCAAGACAAGCCTGTAATCTACCCAACCGATTAGGTTCATCAGGGTTAATGGATAAATATAACAGAGTATCGTCAGCATAACAGTGAAAGTTTATCCCATGCTGTCTAATGATTTTACCAATTGGGAGCATATATATAGTAAAAAGAATTGGTCTAAGCACTGAACCTTGTGGTACTCCACAAGTAACCCTGGAGTATGAAGACGATTTGTCATGTACATTTACAAAATGAAATCTGTCAGACAGGTAGGATTTAAACCAGCCTAGCGCTGTTCCTTTGATCCCTACAACATGTTCAAGTCTTTCTACAAAAACATTGTGGTCAACTGTGTCAAAAGCAGCACTGACATCTAACAAGACTAGAACAGACACAAGATTCTTATCTGACGCCATGAGAATATCATTTGTAACTCTCACTAACACAGTTTCAGTGCTGTGATACTCTCTAAAACCAGACTGAAATTCCTCAAACAGAGCATTGGTGTTTAAATGCTCACATACTTGGATGGCCACTATTTTCTCCAGGACTTTGGA